AGCCACTAGGCTGCTGCACTGGTCCCTTCTTTCTTTTTTAAAAGATTTCTTTTTTTTTTTTTTAAGATTTATTTATTTTATTGCAAAGTCAGATATACACAGAGGAAGAGTGACAGTGAGGAAGATCTTCCATCGGATGATTCACTCCCTAAGTAACCGCAAGGGCCTGTGCTGTGCTGATCTGAAGCCAGGAGCCAGGAACCTCCTCCAGGTCTCCCACGTGGTTGCAGGGTCCCAAAGCTTTGGGCTGTCCTCGACTGCCTCCCTGGCCACAACCAGCGAGCTGGATGGGAAGTGGAGCTGCTGGGACTAGAACTGGTGCCCATATGGGATCCTGGTGCTTTCAAGATGAGGACTTTAGCTGCTAGGCTATGGCGCTGGGCCCAAAAGATTTATTTCATTTGGGACCCAGTGCAATGGCTGGATTGCCAGGGAGGCCCGCAGGGGAACCTGTGATGCCGCCCTTGCCTCCTCAAGGGATGACGTGGGACCCTAGGCAATAAGAGGTGGGCAGAAGCATGCCTCCCACTGCATGCTGCAAGGAAGCTTCTGGAAGCTGAGACTCATCTGATTGGAGGCTTGGAGGATGGTTAGGAGTCCATCTTTCCCCACACTCTCTTAAGAATTTGGTGGACAGTCATGGTTTGAATCCCAGCGCCATTATCTGCCTGGTTAAACAACAGTGGCAGGTGGTCCTCCACCCTCAATCTGCTTATTTGTTAGATAGAGACCATGACTTCTTTCTTTTTTTTTTTTTAAGATTTATTTTTTTTTTATTATTTTTTATTGGAAAGGCGGATATACAGAGAGGAGAGACAGAGAGGAAGATCTTCCGTCCGATGATTCACTCCCCAAGTGAGCGCAACGGTCAATGCTATGCCGATCCAAAGCCAGGAGCTTCTTCTGGGTCTCCCACGTGGGTGCAGGGTCCCAAAGCTTTGGGCCGTCCTCCACTGCTTTCCCAGGCCACAGGCAGGGAGCTGGAAGGGAAGCGGGGCTGCCGGGATTAGAACCAGCGCCCATATGGGATCCCAGGCGTGCAAGGCGAGGACCTTAACCACTTGCGCCACTGCGCCGGGCCTGAGACCATGAACTCTATGCCTCCAAGACACAAGGGAAACAGCTGACTGGATATGAGATAAGCCAGTTAGCCGGGTGAGAGCCCCTTGGCAGGTGGGGTGCACACTGGGCTGGTGGGGTGTCAAACCAACAGTGCCAGAGCATTTAGCCCAGGCCAGGCGCCATTACAGGCATTTTGCTAGAATAACTCAATGATCTTGTAATGTCAGTTCAGTTGTTAAACACATTTTACTCACAAGACACTGGAGCACAGCGACTTACAGTGGGCTGGTAAATGACAGGTGGAAGTGGAACCCAGGCAGCCTGGCCCTACACCTCGTGCCTAACTCTGCTGTCAAACCGCAGGAAGCACAGCTGGACCATACGCGGGCAGCCTTTCTGAGCCAGGGGCGGCAGGACAGAGGCTTCCTGGAGGGGCCCTCTTGTCCTCTAGAGATCTTGGCCCTTTGTGAAATGGTAGTCTTAAGCAAACACAAAGCACTTGGCTGCCCAGCTTGGGAGAGCAAGATCACCCTTAAGGGTACATCGAAATTGGCACACACACTTGGAAAATGCAATTATCCCATAGGTTCTTATTGTGTACCAAGACCTGCCCCAGGAAAGTACAGCCACAAAGCAAGCCTACCAAAAAGCTCCGCCCCCTGAGGAGTTCACGCTCAAGTGGCTGATGACAGACAATAAACAGAGAGGTGAAACGTGTATCAGAAGCTTTTAAATGTCAAGGAGAGAAATGAAGCAGAAGGTGGGGCGGGTTACAGCAGTTTGTCATGTGGTATATTTGGGGGAAATTTCTCTCAGTGAAGACCCAAAGGAGGCAAGAGTGAGTGTTGCCAGAATTCTGGGAGAAGAATGTCCCAGAGATGGCTAATAGCAAGTGCAAAGGCCCTGAAGCAACAACCTTTTGGCATTGTCAAGGAACTGCAAGGACACAGGTGTGGCAGGTGGAGAGCTGCACGCCAGAGTGGAGACGGGATTAGAGGGTGTGTGCCAAGGAGACCAGATCTCTGCCCACCTTTCAGATTTCCCTGCATGTTCTAAAAGTATCAGTGTAGAATGCAAAACAGACACACACTGCAACTGGATGGAGCCGGGAATGCATGATGTGTATGCGGTTTCCCAGCACAAATCCCCCTTCTATTGTATTCTACCTACCCTTGCAAGCCACAAGGGGGTGGGTGCTGGGAAACCCTGGAGTGACTGTAACCCTGGTCTCTAAGCAGGGGCTCTGTGCTGGGGTTTGCTGCTGGGCAGGGGCAATCCTGAAGCCCACACTATCCCAGGACTCTGGGGAATGTGTTCCCTGCTTCCTGTAGGCTCAGCTCTGTGCTCAGTCAGTAAAGACTGCAGAAGCCTTCGGGGCCTGGGTCACCTCCATACTGGGTGCTGTGTGGCTAGCAAGGTGCCTGCAACACACACATACCACAAGGAGCCTTGGCTGACTCCTTAGAAAGCAGAATCCCCCACCCCTGGCCCCCGTGTCAGGTCTTGGACCAGATTGGAGGTATTTTTGCTTTTGTTGGTTTTTAAAATATTTATTTGAGGGCCCAGCGCGATGGCGCAAGTGGTTAAGGTCCTTGCCTTGCACGCCCAGGATCCCATATGGGCGCCGGTTCTAATCCCAGCAGCCTTGCTTCCCATCCAGCTCCCTGCCTATGGCCCAGGAAAGCAGCCGAGGACGGCCCAAAGCTTTGGGACCCTGCACCCGTGTGGGAGACCCGGAAGAGGCTCCTGGCTTTGGATTGGCTCAGTTCCAGCCATTGCAGCCGCCTGGGGAGTGAACCATCGGACGGAAGATCTTCCTCTCTGTCTCTCCTCTCTGTATATCTGCCTTTCCAATAAAAATAAAAATAAGTCTTAAAAAAATACATATTTATTTGAAAGGCAGTAACAGAGAGAAGGAGAGACAGAGAGCTTTTGTCTGCCTGTTCGTTGCCCAAAGTGGTGGCATTGGCTGGAAGCTGGGCAGGTCCAAAGCCAGGAGCTCCCTCTGGGTCTCTCACCTGGATGCAGGGCCCCGAGGACTTGAGCCATCCTCTGCTGCTTTCCCAGGCACACTGACAAGGAGCTGGATGGGAAGTAGAACATTAACAGGTACCCATCTGAGATGCCAGCACCTCAGGCTGGAGCTTTTGAGGTTCCCTGAATCATGTAAGGCTGGGACCTGCGCTGGTCCCCAATTTGGGTTTCTTTACAGGTAGGGTGTAAGGGGGTGGGGGGAAGAAGGGGCTGGAAGGGAAGAGGAGCCCAGACAGTCACAGGTTTGAATCCCAGCTCCACTATCTGTCTGGGTAAGCAACGGTGGACCCTCCGTTGCTGACTCTGCGTCTCCTTATTTCTCCACATTTGTTAAGTAGGGATCATTTTCAAGAATCTGCAAAAAAAAAAAGTAACATCCGGATCAGTTCCCAGTCCACCCAGCCGCCTCCAGTTTGTTTTTGGTTCACATCCGCTCCAAGGGGCAGTGAACAATCATCTCTTCTCAGCAAGCAAGCTGGTCCGGGAAGGAATTGAGTTGGGAGCCACCCCAGCCCATAGGAATGGATGGGGCCCTTATCTGTCCAGGCACAGATAACAGTCCTCACTTGACTGGCCGCAGGACACTGGGCAAGACCCGCTGCAGCCTTCAGCCACACCCTCCTGTCTCGTGGATAATGACGCCGGGGCCTTGGGGTCGTTAAGGACATGCTAGTGTCAGGATCCGGACTTTTAACAGGCTGACTGGGAGCGGCGCGAGCGCGTGACCCTAAGCACGGGGCCCACCGTCCGGTTCACAGAGGCTCTGGCAGCAGCTGGCTTTGCGCTAGCAGGTTCGTTGCCTTTTCACGCACACACGCAACTCGTTCAAGCGTCTCCACGCACGCTGGGCACCAAGGGCGCGGAGGCAAACTCCTGGGACGCGGGGAGGAGTAGCCGAGCGAGCCTTCAAGCGTCAGGCTGGAGGCGAGGTCCGTGGAGCTGGGCTGGGTGCCTACCGCGTGCCCAGCCCGGCGTGCTCAGGCGCCCGCCAATTTCCCCCGTGTCCGAGGGTCGCGGACTGTGAGCTCGTGGGGGGTCTCGGAATGTGAGCTCCTGGGGTCTGTCCTCTTCCTGAAGACTCTCCAAGTTAGGTCGTGCGAAGTACCCTGAATGCAGGAGGCGAGATTGGCCTCTGGCAGCGCCCAAACAGCGCCAAGTGGGGCTTGGGAATCCTGGGCGTCAGGAGCGAGAAGGGGTCTTGAGGTCTTCTGTAGAAGACACCCCGACTCCGCCTCTTCACAGCCGGGAACCCAGCAACGACTTTAAAATGCTTGGGGAGATATGTTAATTCTAGTGCCTTAAAAAAAAAGTCGGTAGAAGGAAAAAGCTATCTCCAAGGCGATGAAAACTTTCCGAAAAGTTTTACTGGAAGTCAGCTCCACCTAACAGGGGGAGCTGAGGGAGGTGGCCGCCCCAGGGAAGGTCGATGAGTCCCCGGACTCTGGCTCGGGGAGAGGGCGCCTCCCCGCCGCCCCCAGGCCGGCCGAGGCATGAGGTCACCTGGCTCCGGCCCAGCAGCAGCTGCGGAGGACGCGGCGGCGATGCGGAGGGAAGGCGGTGTCAGGCTCGGCCCCGGAGCGGGGAACGTCCCTCCGCCTCCCCGGGAGGCGCGGCCCGCCCACAGAGGCCACGCCCCTCCCGCGCCCTGGGCACGCCCCTTGTGCGCCTTCCAAGCTCCTGAGTGGCTCTTCCGCCGGCGCCAGCGCGGCCTCTCTGGCCTTTCCCCGGCCGAGGCCACGCCCCTCGAGCTCCGGCCGCGCCCTTTCCTCGGGAGAGTCCCGAGACGCCGCCTGGCCCTGGCCCCGCCCCCGGCGCGAGGCCCCGCCCCCGGCGCCCCGCCCCGCGGCTTGAAGCGGCTGGGGCTGCGGCCGCCTGCGAGTCGCTCGTGGGGCGTGGGGCGGTGCTGAGGGAGCCGAGGCCGCGGCCAGCTCGACGCCGGGAGTGTGTCCAGCGAGCGCAGCGCGCCGGGAGTCCGCAGCCAGAGCAGCCCCGGAGCCGAAGCCGCAGCAGCAGCCGAGCCGGCCATGGCGTTGTCGATGCCGCTGAACGGGCTCAAGGAGGAGGACAAAGAGCCCCTCATCGAGCTCTTCGTCAAGGTGAGCGCCCGGCCCGGCCGGCCGAGGCCCGGGCTCCCGGCACGGGCGCTGGCGGGTGGGGGGCGGTGGCCCGCGGGGCCCCGGAAAGCGCCCCCCGCGCGGCGCCCGCACTCGGGTGGAGGGCGAGGTGAGGGCAGCGGCCGCGGCTCCCGGGCCGTCCCCTCCCCACCCCGGGCCCATTGTCTCGGGGCCACCCGCTGCTTCCCGCCTCCCGGGGCCGGGGCCGGGGTCGCCGGTCCGCCGGCCACGCGGGCTCCTGCGGACGCCGGAACAGCGTCCCGCGCCCCGGGGGTCGGGGAGAGCCCGCGGGGTGGGGGGCGAACCGCTCCGCCTCGGGCCGGGGTTCCCGTCCCCCACCCCCGGCCGGTCACCGGGCCAGAAACGCCCAACTTTTCTGACCGATTTTCGGAAGCACCTCGGCTCCCCGCCCGTATGAAACTGAAACTTTAAATTTTGGATGCAATCTTGAAAAGAAAAGAAAAAAATAAATAAATGAGCGCGAGGGGCGGACGCTCCAACACCCCCCCCCCAGCGGACTGGGGTGCCCAGCGTGGGTTTCCTGGCCCCGGCGTTTGCCCCCCAACCCCATCCCACCCCACCCCACCCCACCCCACCCCCCATCTGCGTTTCTCCCTCCGGCTGCTGCGACGTTGGGCTGCGCCGCTTGGTCGTGCGAGCCCTATTGTTGCCGAGGGAAAACTGTTGCGGGCGAGAAGTCCTGCCTGGCTTTGCGGAGCTGACTCCTGCCGCGCCCGTGGCTTCGGTGTTTAGTTCCTGGGACTGCCCTGGCTGCTCGCCGAGCCTTCCCGCGACCCTTTCCGTGTCTCTTTAATAGTTTCCAGAGTGGTAAAGGAGAGAGCGCGAGGGCAGAAGTTACAAACATCTGGATGCGGCTGCTCCACCGAAAATGGCCTTCAAGTCTGGGACAGTGTTTGAGCTGCTTCTAAAACGCTGCTCATTTGGAGCCAGGCAGCGTACTGGAAAGTTAACAGGGATCTAGAGTTACTTGGTTCTTTTCTTCTTCTTTTTTTTTTTCCTTTCCCCTGAGCGTTTCTGTTAGAGAGATGTGGGAGGGTGTGTTTAAGAGGGAAGAAATGGCCCACAGCTGATGGAAGGGCCTTTATTTTAGGGTTTTCTTGCAATCGTGGATTTGAGAAACTTGTTAGTCCAGGAGAGTCCGACGGCTTGATAGAAGCCCGTTGTGTCAGGAGCCTCAGCTACTTGGGGGTGGCAGACACAACGCTTGAAAGTATAGAGAATGTCGGGGCCCTGTAAGGAAGGGAAAGGAAAGAGGGGGAGTAAAAAGCCAGCTGGCAAGGGCGGAGGATGAGTACCAGACTAGACCGAGGTAGGAACAGGAAGGAATTGTGGTGATGCAGGCTACACGCAGCAATAATTAGAGAGCGGGGCTACCGAGGGGCAGTGTTACCATTGGGAATGAGGGGTGTTGTCAGTTACAGCTTCCAGTCGGCAGCACCCCGGAGCTCCCATCCACACAGGAAGGCTGAAGGAGAGGAAGGTGCTGGCTTAGGCAGCACCTGTGCCAACACTGGAAACGCACAAGATTAGTGTGGCCCAGTACAAGGACCCCACTGGAATTTGTGAAGTGCGTCATGGCCCCGCTGGCTCTAACTTGAGCTTTAGTCAGAAGGAGGGGCTCGTGCTGCGCTGTTCCCCAGACTCAAGGCACCTGCACCCTTCTCCTCGCTGGCATTCCAACTCAACTGCTTAGCACAGTGCTGGGTGGCTGAGAACCAGGGTTCAAGTTCCAGTTGTTCGCTGGCTTGGTGGAGTTGCGCACCAGATTTTTTGTTGTTGTTGTTTGTTTTCTCTCTTCAACCTTTACTTTCTTCATTTGTAAAGTGAGAGGTGAAATGTTTTTTGCTGCTCCGTGATTCAACTCAGGCTACACTTTGCACTGCTGGAGACCAGATGCGTTGCTTGAAAGGGGGTGAGAAGGAAAGGGTAACAGTGATAAACAGTAGTCTTGCTTTGTTCGCAAAGCCTGTATATGGAAAATGCAAATGGGGGGAAATACCCTTGTAAATATAGTTGCCTTGAACGCCATGTGGGGCAGAGGCCGTGTTTGTCCAGCATGGTGTGTTCAAACAGTGTTTATTGTTCTGCCAAGAGCTGTCTGAGTTCGTAGGAGAAAACTGCTGTTAGACGAAATTCATTGGAGGTGCTAGGGGACACAGTGGAGGGCCAGGGGGTGAGGGGACGCAGTGGCAGGGCCAGGGGGTGATGGGACGCAGTGGCAGGGCCAGGGGGTGAGGGGACGCAGTGGCAGGGCCAGGGGGTGAGGGGACGCAGTGGCAGGGCCAGGGGGTGAGTCTCGCTGCCCAGACTGAGATTTCAACTTGGAGAGCAATGACTCAGGACATTGTCACATAGTGTGACAAGATTCACAGCCCGATTCCTTCCTTGTGGCGATATATATATATATATAGATTTATTTGCAGAGAGACCAGGAGATACAAAGACAGACCTTCCATCCCTTGGTTCACTGCTCAAATGGTCACAAATGCAGAGCTGGGTGGTCTGAGGCCCAGGAGCCAGGAGCTTCTTCTGAGTCTCATGTGGGTACAGGAGCCCATGGATTGGACCATCTTTTGCTGCCTTCCCAGGCACATTAGCAGGGAACTGAATCAGAAGTGGAACAACCAGGATTTGAACCAGTGCTCTTATGGGATACTGGGACTACAGGCAGAGGTTTAACTCACTGTGCCACAGCTCTGATCCTATGGGGAGAAATCTTTTTAATGATTTATTTATTTTTATTGGAAAGTCAGATACATAGAGAGGGGAGGAGTGACAGAGGAAGATCCTCCGTCCACTGATTCACTCTCCAAGTGGCTGCAATGGCCAGAGCTGAGCCAATTCAAATCCGGTAGCATGTAGCCTCTTCTGGGTCTCGCATGTGGGTGCAGGGTCCCAAGGTTTTGGACCATCTTCTACTCCTTCTACTCCTTCCCCAGGCCAGAAGCAGGGAGCTGGAAGGGAAGTGGGGCCACCGGGATATGAATAGGCACTCATATGGGATTCTGGCACATGCAAATGAGGACTTTAGCCACTAGGCTACTGTTCTGGGTTTGAAAAAATTTTTAAAAGAAGTTTATTTCTAATCTGGTTGAAAGGCAGAGAGATCTTCCTTCTGCTGGTTCACTACCCAAGTGCCGGTGGGAGCCGGGGCTGGGCCAGACTGAAGCCAGGAGCTCGGCGCTCCATGAAGGAGGTGGAGGTGCAAGCCCTTGAGTCGCCTCCCAGGAAGCATCAGAGGAGGCGATGTCTGAGGTGGAGGAGTCGAGACTGGAGTGCATACTTCTGTACGGGTGTAGCATCTCCAGCAGTTTGTCACTCAGTGAACTTTTGGAACCATCCACTGTTAGGGTGACTTATGTATGCTAACCTTTAACTAGGAACTGAGTAGTTCCTTAGAATTGGTGTGACTGCTGCCAAGTCTGCTAACTCAGTTTGTTCCAAGGCACGTCTCTGAAAGCTCTCTGTGCTGCGTCTGCACAGCTGGGATATTGATGGACCAACCTGTGACAATGAATTAAAAATACGTGGAGTGGTTTTTAGTGCACAGCAAGTAGATACGTGCGCTGTGTCATTTTGTCTGTGTTTACACGCAGACCTGCCATCTGGGTGGACAGTGAAGTCCCTGAGGGCAGAGTAGGTCTGTGTTGTTCAAAGTGCCCGCAGTAGAAGAGGCTGCCGTGTGTTGGGCACAGGTTGCGCCCTCCTCTGCTGAGCATGCTCTTGTCTGGGTATGTACCTGCCATGCTGTACCTGCCAAGCCTTGGAACTGGAACCCTCTTATATTCTGTGGGTCCAAGTCCCACATCGTGGCACTTTGTCTCAGTCTCGATAGCTTCCAGTCTCCAAAACCCCAGGCAATTTTTAGCTACTTCTTTCTTTTTTTTTCCATGATTTAGTTCTAACCTTTTAATGTATCTACCATATTTTCCACCCATGTTTCTGTTAGGCTGTGTCCAGAATTGGGGTAGCCAAGGTTTCTCTTTGGGTAAAAGTAGATGGATCCTGGTGCAGTAGCTTACCGGCCAAAGTCTTCACCTTGCACATGCTGGGATCCCACGTAAATGCAGGTTCTAATCCCGGCAGCCCTGCTTCTGATCCAGCTCCCTGCTTGTGGCCTGGGAAAGCAGTCAAGGACGGCCTTGTTATCTTGCACCTGTATGGGAGACTTGGAAGAAGCTCTTGGCTCCTGTCTCCGGATTGGCTCAGCTCTGGCCATTGTGGCCACTTGGGGAGTGAATCAGCGGATGGAAGTTCTTCCTCTCTGTCTCACCTCCACTCTGTATGTCTTAGTTTAAAAAAGAAAAAAAGAATCTTAAGAAGAAAAAAAAAAGGAGTTGCTAAGTCTTACATGAGATAAGGAGAGAAGTGGAGAAGAGACAGACTTTTTTGATTTTTTCATTGGCTTACACAAGCCCAGCCCTTGTTGGCCCCCGCTGGTGGCTTTGGTTGAAGTGAGGGTGTTTCTGAGCTCTGAGAGGCGGGGTGATGCAGTGTGTAAGAACACTGTTGATCTTGAGATTTGGCAGGAGGCTCTGATGTGCATGGCTCTGGCGCCAGACTGCTTGGCTTGAATCTGGCCTCTCCTAATATGCCAGACCAAATCCTTCAGCTCTCACTTCTTCCGGGTCTTGACTTTTAATATTAGGTTAGCACACAGTAACGTTTGTACAGGGTTTGCCAGGCCGATTCACTGATTGTGTATTAATTTGAGTTGTCCCCGGCGCTGTAATAAGTAGTGCTTGCCAAGCGATGGTGCAGACAAGAGACCCGTTTCCTTCTTTGTTCTCTAGCAGTCCAGAAGGTGTTAGAGACATTGATTTCCTTCTAACTTGGGGAGCCAGGCTCTTTGCAGCTTGCTCCCACCACATTATCCTCTGAGTTGTCCACGCTGCTGGCTGATCAGTTTGGGTGCAGCCAGTGGGAAGAGGAGGATGGGTGGAAGCCCACGTTCGCCCAGT